TAGGAAGTCTTGGAAGCCACTTGGGCCATCTTCGTGATTCTTGGAATCCCCGGGGAAGAAGTGTCAGGAAATATAGATCCTCAAGAGTTCGACCATCCAGCCTAGCTAGAATTTGAACTCACGCGAAGCGCGCGATGGTTGTAGCGTGTATATATATATGTATATAAACATGTATATTTAGATATAAGACTGCATTGGCGCTGCGCGCCATGCACCTTGGTCCTTTGAGTTGCAGCCGCAAGCGGCGTGCACCTTCGTCCTTGATGCGCGCTGGTGTGCACGCACACGTGGGTGGACGTTATGCGTATGCATATGTATTTGTATATGTATATGTATATGTGTATGTATATGTGTATGTATATGTATATGTGTATGTGTGTATTGCGAAGGCCTTACGGCCGGTGCCACCGACCCTAAGAATGACGAAGATGAAAACGAGGGGGGGGGCAGGGGGAGGAGGATGAGTGGGAGGTGGAGGAAGGGTGGAGGAGATGGATGAGGGAGGAGGAGGGGGGAGAACGGAGAAGGATGTGGAGGAGAAGCAAGAGGAGGAGAAGAAGGCAGAGGGCAGGAGGAGGGGGAGCAGAGGGGGAGGAGGAGGAGGAAGAGGAGGAGGAGGAGGAGGAGGAGGAGGAGGAGCAGGAGGAGGAGGAGGAGGAGGAGGAGGTCAGAGGCTTTTCTTGGGACAGCCTGGGGCTCTCTTGAGGCCGTCTTGGGCCGTCCAGGGCTCCTCTTGCGCCGTCTCGAGGCACTCTTAGAGGCCTCCTGGGCAATTTGGGGCTCTCCTGGGCTGTCTTGGGGCAGTTTGGGGGCCCCTGGGGAGCCTCTTGGGGCCTCTTGGGGCCTCTCGGGGCTTCTTCGGGGCCTCTTGGGGGCCTCTTGGGGGCCTCTTGGGGCTGAGAACTCGAAATCTCCGTTCGGGTCCCCCGTCTGGGCACTCTCCTGGAGCCGTCTTGGGGGCCTCTTGGGCCGTCTTGGAGGCGTCTTGGGCCGTCTTGGGGCCCTCTTCGGCCGTTGGGGGACCCTCTTGGGGGCCTCTTGGGCCGTCTCGGGGCGATCTTGGGGGCTTGGGCCGTCGTGGCGCGTCGGGAAGCGGAAGAGGCAAGAACGCCAAAATATTTTTCCCATGAATTTTGCCTCTTGGGGCTCTCGTGGGAAAGCTCCTGGAGGCCTCTTGGGGCGCTTTGCATGCCTCTTGGGCCGTCTGGAGGCCGTCAAGGCGTCTTGGACAGATCGTTCGGCGATTCGGGGTTCTCTTAGACTGTCTTTGGGGCCTCTTGGAGCACTCTTGGCCAGTCTTGAAGCTTTTTGGGGCTCCGGGACTCCCCAGGGGGGCGTCGTATCTGACCCCCCCGAGGACCCCCCTCCGGGACCCCCCTGGACCCCCCCCCAGGACGCCCCCCCGGGACCCCCCCCCCCCGGACCCTTCCCCCCGGCGGGGGAGGGATCGAAGGGAAGGGGCTTCCCTTCGACTCAATTGCGACGTTGCTCAATTTCGCTTTGGCTGGCGCGCTGAGGAGGTCCCTAGGAAAGGGTTCAGCTTCGACGAGCCCAGGGAAAGGGGGAGGCAAGGAAAGGGGACGACAGAGACGACGACCTACGAATGACGGAGATGACGACTTGAACCGACACACGCCGACAGGGTCGGCGGATTCGTATATTGATGCACATGCACACACACATGTATGGATATCTGAGTATATATGCATATATGAACGTCGAACTATGGGCGCGCCCACGTGCACCGCGTCTACTTGTACATGTCGACGCGTGCACATACGCGTGTAGGTATACACATGTACATTCGTGTACACGTACTCCGGAGCGATAGAAGAGTTTTGGCACTGGAAAAACCATGATGTGGACAATAATACAATGATCATTGCATAGTGCGCTCCCGGCGTCGTAGTCGCCACTGCTCTCGCCATGGCGCCTTCTCCCGTTTTCTCATGCCCCCCTACACTTCCGTGAGACGTGTGCTGTACCCAGAGCGGGCTCACGTGGCAATGAAAAAATGTCAGAGTGCTCTGTCAACCGCGGCCCAGCCGTGGCTGCAATCAAGCGCGGCGCACCCAGAGCATAAGGAAGTCTTTATTCCACGGCATGTGGTGCACCTGAAGCCCTCTGGGGCCGTCTTCGGGCTCTGGTGGGGTGCTCCCGAGAGGCCTGGGGTGCGTGAAATGCGTCAGGTTGGGGGATCTTCAAAACTCTTGGAAACCCTGTGGGCTTCCTGGGGGCATCGGGGCATCCTCTTGGGGCCTCTTGGAGCCTCCTGAGGCCTCGTGGGGCTCTCTAGGGAATGTCTGGAGGCCTCTTGGGCCGGCTTTCCTGGGGGCCTCTGGGGATCCTTTCGGGGCCTCTTCGGGGCCTCGTGGGAGATTCTGGGGTCTCGTGGGGCTGTCTAGGGAATGTCTGGAGGCCCTCCTGGGCTGGCTCGGGACCCTCGTAAAGCCTGTCGCGCCGTTTGAAGCGATCTGGGGGGCTTCGTGGGCCGTCTTGGCGCCTCGGGAAGCCGAAAACGGAAATAAAAACAAAAAAAGATGCAATAGAAGATCAACGAATTGTGCCTCTTGGAGCTTTCTTGGGAGTGCTCTTGGAGGCCTTGTGGGAGGTTTTGGAGCGATCTTTGCGGGTATGACGGCTTCTTTGGGTTGTTTGTGGTCGTTTCGGGGGCGCGCCATAGCGCCTGGAGCCTTCTGGGGCCGTCTTCGGGCTCTCGCGGGGTGGGTGACATGCGTTAGGTGGGGGGATTTTGTGGGACTCTTGGAAACCCTTCGGGCTTCCTGGGAGCCTCTGGGGATCCTCTTGGGGCCTCTTCGGGGCCTCGTAGAAGCCTCCTGGGACCTCCTGGGGCCTCCTGGGGCCCTCTCGGCAGTGTCTGGAGGCCCTCCTGGGCCAGCTCGGGGCCCTCGTGGAAGTCTGTCGGGCCGTCTTAGGGCGATCGGGGGGCTTCGTGGGCCGTCTTGGCGCCTCGGGAAGCCGAAAAGGGGAGAGCCCCGAAATGCACACATAAACAATAGAAGATCAACGAATTGTGCCTCTTGGGGCTTGCTGGGCCGTGCTCTTGGAGGCCGCGGGTGACACTTTGGAGCGATCTTCAGGGATATGACGGCTTCGTTGGGTTGTCTGGGCTCGTTTCGGGGGCGCGGCGGAGCGCCTGGAGTCCTTTGGGGCCGTCTTCGGGCTCTCATGGGATGCTCCCGAGAGGCCCGGGGTGGATCAAATTTGGTGTGGGGGGGGGGGCGCTTTTTCTGGGGGGGCCGGCGTTAGGGGAAGGGAGGGGAGGGCTCGTTCCAGAGACCTTGGTTTTATAACATGTATGGATAGGAATATGTGTTTGTGTGTGTGTGTCTCAAGGTGTTCACAGGTTGCATTGCATACATCGGTATAGATGTATATGTATATATGTATATACCTATATATATATGTATATGAGTGTGTGTACGCTTACTATGTGCATGTGTATTGCATCGGTTCGTGTTGCGGTGACGCTGTTTTCGATATGTGTGTCTACTCGACTGCGTTGCTGTTACGTGTGTAGTTTGTGTATGTGGCTCAGCGTTATTTTCCCCGCAAGGCACATTTCAAAGTACGCGTGTGGCTCGCGCAGTATACGTTTTGAATTAATCGCCCCGCTGGACGCACTTGTTATTACTACTGCCTTGCAGAGTGCATTGTTTTGCCCGTATCGTCTCGCAACGCGTTTTTTTATTGTTACAATAGCCTGGCTGAGCGTTTTTGTTGGTGTTCGGGCCTCTCAGAGCGCATTTGTTTGTTATTGTAGTCACGCAGAGCACATGTTTGGTTATTCTGGCATAGCACCACCACCGCGACAACCATCGGAACAACCTTCGTGACAACCATCGGGACAACCAGCAGCCATCAGGACAATAATCGAGACAGCAATCGGGACAACAATCGGGACAGCCATCGGGACAACCGTCGGAACAACCATCGGGACAACCGTCGGGGCAACCATCGGGAGAAACATCGGGACAGCCATCAGGACAATCATCGGGCCAACCATCGGGACAGCCATCAAGACATGCATGCATCGGGACGGCCGTCGGGACAAGTAACCATCCAATCAAACATCGGGACAGCCATCGGGACACCCACCGGGACAACCAGGGAGCTACGGCCGGCGCGTGGGACGATTCATTTTTGTCGGATTTCGCCCGAGCCGGGGCTGGAGCTCGCACGTCGCGCACGAAACGAGACAATTTCCCAGCGGATAGGGCACCTCACGTTTCACGTAAGGCGTCGCGTAATGGGGGGGGCGGTAGATGAGGGGGGGGGGCCAGCGGGGGCTGCAGAAAAGGGGCCCCTACAGGGGCCCTTTACGGCCCAAAAGAGGGCCTTTAGGGCCTGAGAAGAGCACCGTCCTTCCCACGCCGTTTTTCGCCCCCGCAGTAAGCGAGGCCCCGTACACTTCGGTCCCATCCCCCAACCTCCACTGACGCGGTCGGCCTGGGCGAGAGGGCCGGATACACGTGTGGCCGGATGGCTTCTGCGCGCTCGGGCCCTCTGTGGCCGTGTACGCCAGGTTTCTCATGGCGCCAACATCGCAGAGCGGATTTCGCTCGGATTTCAAAAGGATGGACTCGAAGTATATTGGAGAATTTCGTTATGGATTTCGAAGTGGACTTCGTGAGGATTTGTTTGGGCCAAGAATGAAGACTAAACAAAAATCCACGTGAAGTTCATTTCGTTTTTCGCTCGCCGTTCCAGGGCTCTGCATTGACAGGAATCCACGCAAAAATCCACTGCAGCACGTCTGCAAGGTCGGTGCAGTGAGGCTTCCGCACCATGTGTATCCAGCGCGTGGCCTCTGGATGTCCCACATCTGAGCCCAGCCACGTTCCCCAGGGGCTTGACGACAGTTCCCCAGGCGACTTGCGGGGATCAGGCCAGAGGAATCGAGGTGAGGCTCAGTGAAGATCTTTGCAAATCCAAATCTAGAGAACTATGGACCTCCAGGGAAGCCTGGAGATCTATAGCCTGGGCAACGGCACGTGCACCCTGCGGCGCCCGCGGCGTCACGCGTGCAGCGTCACGGCGCCCGCGGCCGTGCAGACCTCCAGCGAGGTCATCACGGGTGCCGCGCCAGCGCCCGCAGCTCCTCCCGGCACGGCGCAGGCGCGCCCAGCGCGAGTCGAGGGACAGCGGAAGTCGTTGAGCCCTTGGCGACAGGCGCGTTTCTCGGTTTCCTGGCGCTCCCGCACCGTCTCTGCAGGGGGGGCTGGCGGGCACAGCGGTCGTCCAGCCGTCCGCGCAGGCCTCGAGGGCGCGAAGGCGCCCGGGGCAGGCTGGGCAGGCTCGAGGTGCACGGAAATGAACGTCCGAGAGACGGCCGGTCCCTACGGGGAGCAG